TGGTATGGTCATGGTCATCGCGCGAATTGTGACATCGTCCGTAGGACTGGTCCTTGAGCTCATGTGCCGAAAAGCGGGCCTAGGACGCCCACGCATCGGATGGTTAGGACCGTTGCATCGGCGACTTGGAACGATAGTTGGCACCCATCCCGCAAACAGGCATCCATCGGAGAAAAGGTGTGACCTAATGCACGACGTGACCCACTAGCAGAGCGGACAAATCAAGAAGAAGAAGAAGAAAATATGTGATATCACTATTATTATTTATTATTATTATTTATTATTTACCGTAGTCTGGCTGACGCGCATTTCTGCGCGCAGGGTTAAACCTATGTTACTGATGCTTGATAGGATTTCTGCGCTGAGCAGTAACACTGAGCTTAATTCCTATGTTTCCAAAACGGCCCATTTCATCATGTTTCTCCCTTTTAATGAACACTTGCCGCAGATGTTAGGCTCATATCATATTTCTAAAATCACCATTTGTTGGAAATCGGACAGCGTAGCGGTTGGAAGGATTCCGATGGTAAAAATATCGAAATCACAGTGGCTCTTATCATTCCTCACTGGGCAACAACTCCAAACATCCTTTTTTTCGGGAACTCGAGCGTTTAGCGGTGGAAGCAATTCCGACCGCTAAACTGAGGGATTTTGCTAAGGGAAAATATCTTGACTCGTTAAGAATTCGCCCATTCATTCTTTGGCTACGGTGATGTGAGCAGATACGGACTCCCAAAAGCCCTCGTCGGACACTGTCAGAATTTCTCTCCCACCTTTAAATGTTCCCCCTAAGCACCTCTGAAATTACTTGTCTGGATGGCAGTTCCCATTGCGCTATACACTCCGTGTGAATTTTCCTGGCTATCTTATCAGCAGTTATCAATTCCTGCCACCCACCGATAATGTTCTCATCCTGCCCCCTATATTACTTCTTGGAACCAATGTCTCGTCGTTGCTGTGGCCGGTGTTATGGATTTGGTGACCCTCGCTATCTAGAGCCCTTATGATATCTTATCGGCTGTTATCATTTCCTGCACCCACAATAATGTTCCCATCCTGTCCCCTATCTTGCTTCTTGGAACCAAAGTCCTAGCGTCGCTGTGACGCGTGTTATGGAGTTGGCGACCCTCGCTTTCTAAGACTCCCTATGGTATCTTATCAGCTCTTATCACTTCCTACCACCTACCAATAGTGTTCCCATACTGCCCCCTACATTACTTCCTGGAACCAATGTCTCGCCGTTGCTGTGGCCGGTGTTATGGATTTGGTGACCCTCGCTATCTAGAGCCCTTATGATATCTTATCGGCTGTTATCACTTTCCTGCCACCACCAATAATGTTCCCATCCTGTCCCCTATCTTGCTTCTTGGAACCAAAGTCCTAGCGTCGCTGTGACGCGTGCTATGGAGTTGGCGACCCCGCTTTCTAAAGACTCTATGGTATCTTATTAAGCCTACTTTCCTGCCACCTACCAATAGTGTTCCTGCCACGACCTCCTACATCACTTATCAGTTTGAGCGCACAGTCGCTGTTTTGAAGGAAGTTATGAATTTCCGGTCAAACACACATACAGACACACATACATTCACATTCACACACACCAACAGACAAACTTAGCGGATTATATATAGTAGGATTATTATTTTATTATTATTATCTTCTCCCTAGCGTTAGTCCCGCGCCGTCGCAGGGTCCGCTGATCTTGTTAGACGTCGCCACTTGTTCCGATCCACTGCATCTTCTGCTGTGGCTTTCACTTCAGTGAGGTCCCTCTTGATGACGTCCCTCCATCTTTTCTTTGGGGCTCCTCGTGGTCGCTTGCCCTCTATTTCGAGTTCCAATGCCTTCCTTATTGGGTGGTCTTCGGGCCTCCTCAGTACATGACCGTACCATCGCAGTCGCTGCTCTCGTGCCTTCAGCTGGATAGGAGCCGTCTGTGTGACCGCTCTGACGTCCTCGTTTCTGACTCTGTCGAGTCGTGTCCAGCCGCAGGCCCATCTCAGCATCCTCATTTCAGCTGAGTGGAGCTGCCTTTCATGGTTCTTGCAGATAGGCCAGCACTCACTGCCGTAGAGCATTGTAGGCCTTATCACAGCCCGGTACACCTTGCCCTTGAGCGTTCTCGAGCACCGCCGGTCGCACAGGATGCCAGTGGACTCCCTCCATTTCATCCAGGCTGCGTTGATTCGGGCCATCACCGCCTGGTCCACGCTGCCATCAGCTGCTAGGTTGCTCCCCAGGTACTGGAAATCCTCGACCCTTTCGATGTTCTCGCCATGGCGATCTACGATGACTTCGGCGCACTCTTCGGAGCTTAGGAACTTGGTCTTCTTTACGTTCAGCCGGAGTCCATTCGCAGCGAGCACATCCTGCCACCGCTGCACCTTGTCCTGAAGTTCCTCCCTGCTGTCCGCTATCAGGGCGATGTCGTCAGCATAGAGGATGGTTTTCAGTGGTCCCTCCATGAGTTCTTTTGCCATGACATCTAGAGTCAGGAGGAAGAGGAACGGGCTGAGGGCTGACCCTTGGTGTACCCCAACCGTAATGTTTACCTCCTCCCTTGTCAAGCCGTGAGGGGTGCGTACAGCTGCTTTAGCCCCATCGTACATGTCCTTCACTATGGAGATGAGGTGTTCCGGAACGTTACGTTCTCTGAGCGCTCTCCAGAGTACAGGCCTTGGCAGGCGGTCGAATGCCTTCTCAAGGTCCAGGAAGGCTAGGTAGCAGGGTCGCCGCTTCTCTCGGTACTTCTCCATCAGCTGTCTGGCGATGAAGATGGCATCGGTGGTGGACCTCTCGGGCATGAAGCCGAACTGTTCCTGCGAGATAGAGACAAGCTCCCTCAGCCTAGTGTTGACCAGGCCCTCGGTACAGCTTATGCTATGTGGGAGTCAGCTTTGATCGCGCGTAGTTTGGAAACTCCGTCAGCATCCGCTTTCTGTTTGAAGATGGGAACGATTGTGCTGCTCCTCCACGCATTTGGCATCCTTCCTTCAGCTGTTACGTTGTTTAGGAAGTGCGTGAGCCAACTCACCCCATGCTCTCCAAGGGCCTTCCATGCCTCTATCGGTACCCCGTCTGGACCATTCCCACCTGCACTTTCCCAGCTTTCATTCTCCCTAGCTCCCGGCGAACTTCATCCTTCGTCCAGGGAGTGATGGGACCTGCCGTCGCCTCTATCTGTGGGCTATCCTTGCGAGGGAATTCTTCGTTCAGAAGTCCCTCGAAGTATTCTTCCCACCTCTTCCTGACTTCGGCTGGTTTCCTGAGAATGGCCCCGTTGCTGCTCTTCACTGTCTTTACGACCCTGATGTCCTGAGCTGCGCGATGCCGAGCTTTAGCCAGGCGGAAGGCGGGCGGGCGGAAGACGAACTTGTCCCCTTCTCGGCCTTCCAGCTTGTCGTACAGGGCGTCCATTTCCGTATTCTTGGCCTTAGCAACGGCCGCCTTAGCGAGTCGCTTGCAGCTCTTGTAGGCAGCGTAGTCTTCTGGGCTCCGTGTCTTTTGCCAGCGTTTGTAGGCTTCCTTCTTCTGCTTGACGATCCTCTGGACTTCCTCGTTCCAGAACCAGGCTGCCTTGTCTCCTCTGATACCACCTCGCGTCTCTCCCAGGACTCCCTTGCACACCTGTAGGATGACGCTCTGTGCGATAGTCGTCGGTGTCGCCTGGACTGGCCATGTGGGTCTGGGAGCCCAGCCTCCAGTATTTTTCGGCCGAGGCTATCCTTTTCTACCCTGCCCATTTTCCACCACCGAATTCTTCGCTCTGCTCTCTACTCCTTGTTCTTGGGCGGGGTCTATGGCGATGGTCTCAGGAGAGGCTGTGCTGAGGCCCGCAGCTCTTCCCAGCAGATACCCTTGATATACCTTGAGTTTTGAGAGACGATCTTCTGACCAGGACATGGTCGATTTCCGTTTGTCTCCCTCCACTGCTGTAGGTTACCTTTTGGGTCCTCCTTTTCGCGAAGAAGGTGCTGCAGATTGCTAAGTCGTGGGCTGTTGCTAGGTCAAGGATTCGTCCTCCCTCAGCGTTCTTTGTCCCTATTCCTTGTCCTCCGTGCACCCTTTCTAGACCCCTTCTGTCCCTCCCAACATGACCATTCAGATCTCCAGCTATGGTGAGATAGTCCTCTTCCGGAACCGATCTTATGGCCTCGTCCAGGGTCAGGTAGAACTCATCCTTTTCGGTTTCAGAGCAACCGGATTGTGGTGCGTACACGGTCAGTAACTTGTTCCCAGTACCGGCCTCTGTCCGTGTCGCATTCTCACTCCCATGATCCGGTCACTGATCCTGTTCACAGTGGAGACGCAGTCCTTGAGGGATTCTGCCCGCTATGGCAACGCCATTCCGTTTGGTGTCTGCTCCATTGTAGAAGAGTTTGACGCCTTCTCCAATCTCGCGGGCCTTCGCACCCTTCCATCGCGTTTCCTGCAGGCATAGGACTTGGATATTCCTGCGTCTCATGAGGTCGGCAACCTCACGAGACTTCCCGGTAAGCGACCCCACGTTCAGGGTCCCAATTCGAACTAGCTTCTTTGGCCGAGGTCGTTCACCCCTCGGTAGCCCTCGCATACTGACCACAGAACTCGGGCGAGGGTTCTGCGCGCCACTTCCGGGTGACGTCTAGCTTTTACACTGATTCCTAAATTCTATTGCGACTTTCATGGTTGTTGTGACGGGTTCCTCCATCAGCCGGCCTGTCAACCTGGGCCTGACGCTGGTATCGTCCCCATTTTTGCAATTTTTGCAAGGCAGGTTTGTGCCTCGGCAGGGATTCGAACTCTCGTGGCTCAGAGTGAGATTATGAGTCTACACTCTTAACCACTCGGCTATCCGCCTCATTATTATTATTATTATTATTGTCATTTTATTATTATTAAATCAAACCCTCACCTGCCCTCCAGAACTCTGCGTACCTTCACGACTACGCTGTTCCACTCCGTGTCTGCAACAAATGATTCATAATTCAAATTAAGTGAACCGAATCGTTTTCAAAATCTTACTTAATTCCCAGATAGTCAACCATCCAAGCAGTCAGGCTGCCATTGAAAAAGACAGTAACCATTACAATAGCTGCAGTTGTAGAACAAATTATCTGGAACAAGAAAATTGAAGAGCTCACCACGAGGTGTGGCAATAACAAGAAATAATAAAGGGCTGGGATTGCCGCCGGAATCCTAATTCTAAAGCACGTAAACGTGATATGAAATGCAAAAGAGGATCAAAACGTGAGGACGCGTTCATACTTCGCGCTTCATTCCTTGTGATTTTACGTGCAATTTGGTTGCGCCATCAGGCTCCGTTCATACGGCAGCGGCAGCGTCCACTAACGGCAGCGTCCACTAGCTCTTTGCGGCAGCGTCCACTAGCGACCACCAGCGTCTAGCAGCAGTGAGGAAAGGGAGTTGGAGACCGGCAGACAGGTAGGCCAGCGTCGTGAAACTGGGTGTGCGCACCTGCACCGTACTACTGCTAAAGCACCGAGTTATGCTATCCTGACGCGCGGTGCAGTTGCAAGGTGCAGTTGCACACGCTACAATTTCAAGACGCGCGAACCATCTGTCGGCTACCCTCCTACTTCTCCATACTCTCTGCTCCTAGACGTAAGCTTGAAAGACTGGTGGTCGCTGGTGGACGTTGCCGCATAGTATGAACGCAGCCTCGCAGCAATCAGTGCCAGCAACCACTACATTACGTCAATCACGTATAGTATCTTGGCATTGATTGCGCACTTCACGCAATGGTCGCTGGCACGGATTGCTCTGATCACGCGACCAAATCGCATGCTCGATCGGAGTGACCAACTCGCATAGTATAAACTCAGTCTGAGATGCTATAATAACTAAGAGAATATATTCATACGCAAAACACAGTTTTCACTCATTTTACGCCCTCTTAGCCTTCAAAGTGGATGGCTTCAGGAAGCACGTTAACTTTATACCTGTCTATTATCAGTAGAAGTATTTCGATCAGCAAGAGCGAAAGCCATTGCACCACGAAGACCGGCGAACACAAGCATATGCTGGTAGGAACGAGGAATGCGCGGACGGCGCCAAATGTTCAGAAGGAAACTTAACGGGTACACAAAGAGACCACGAGCAACGACAATTGAGATCTAAAAAGGACGGCATAACGAGAAAAACTGCAGAACAGCTATCGAGTAAATGTTGTTAATCAACTAACCAGCGAGAAGAACAAAAATCCAATATTCCATTTTTGATTATTCTCCACGAATATACTGACACCGACATAGCAGAATATAAAGCTTTCGAGGACAAATGAAATCATCTGCAAAGAATACGCATGAGTACTTTTGAAAGACTAAGTGAAATGAATAACTCATTACCTGGAAAAACTGTTTCGTTGTGTGCTTTGACTCCTCGGAAAGATTGTTAAAGGTATAGTGCGCTTGAGAGATACCACAGAAAAGAACTGATACGATACCTAGAAAAATTCCACCTGAAGTCAGAGTGTGTGCACTGAAAAAGTGAGTGCGACTTTACGAAGCCCTCACACTTCCACTGAACTATGGTCGCATATACTCAGCGCGAGCGCTTTAAAACTAATTTCTGGAGGAACGAGCCCAAGTAGCAAACAAAAAACGATATAATTTCCTGCTCGGAATAGAAATGAGCTTTCGTACTGATAAAGTTCGTGCTCCCCATCAACCAGAGCATGAGTTCGAGGACCGTTAAAGCGAGGCGACTGCATTGTGAGCGGCCCTCACGTGTTTAGAGTGAACTTAAAGACACATTCGGCGACCACCTATGAGGGGCATCATTTCTGCGAATGAGCAGCGCGCCCGTAGTTGCATAGAATGTTTCCAGCCTCTGCAAAGACGTGACAAGGGCTATTCGCACCATGTATAGATGCCCATGAAGGAAGAATCGATTGATTTTCCTGTCCACGCAGTGTGTGCAGCTATATGACTCTCGCCCGCCGGTTACAAGGACATCTTGAACTTTTGTGCATGGTCCAGTTGCGAAATCTTGTAATGCAGACAGGCAGGACACATGGGCTGCCAAAGCATCGATAAGTGCGAGAAACATGTGTCGAGCCAGGATACGAGCTTTTTCTAGGAGCCAGGGGCTGCAAAGTGGGTGAGCAACTTACCATTAGTGAAAAGATGGAATGTGTGAAGTCACAATGACTATAGACTGCCATACGGATGAGAAAGTGCATAGAAAAACAGGAGATCAACGCCTTCCAAGGGATTATGTTCAAGTTGTCCGTAGAAGATCGCGCGCGCTCAGCGTCTCTGTGTCTCCATATGTACAGTCCTCATCATTACGGACCGGTGGGGCGGCTCAGCCGCGCTGCCCTGTGACGCGACAGCGGCTGCGGCTTGGTGCTGTTCGCTGGCAGAACGGTTCAACAGTCACCCGCGCTCTTGTTCCGTGCCCCCATTTGCGCGCCCGGTATGGTGACTGGCGCCTATTCAGTGATAGACGCCGCGGCCGATCAGCTGATCTCGATGAAAATCGGCTGCAATTTTTTTATTTTCAGCCCTTCAAGCTGCGGAACAGCAAGGTGAGTTCTCTTGAACAATTTTAAAATGTTCTGGCTGTAATTTATTATGTTTTGTGCCTATTTTATTGCCCTTTTCCTTGTATTTTTTCCTTTTTAGGGTTTTTTCGATTGATGCATGCTTTCCCACCCTTTTTTGGCTCTTACTTCATGCTGTGTCTAGATGGTGTTTCTGTTTTTGATTGAATAAACACTTTTTGACATCGTTTGAAGTCTCCAGACGCAAGTGAAAGCGTCCTTGATTTCCAACATTCTGCTGTGGCGATGTCAAAGAGTGTTCAATCAAAAAACAGACCAAAAACATACTAAGACAGCAGCATGAAGTAGAGCCAACAAAAAAAGGGTGGGGAAAGCATGCATTAATCGAAAAACCCTAAAAAGGAAAAAATACAAGGAAAAGGGCAATAAAATAGGCACAAAACATAATAAATTACAGCCAGAACATTTTAAAATTGTTCAAGAGAACTCACCTTGCTGTTCCGCAGCTTGAAGGGCTGAAAATAAAAAAAATTGCAGCCGATTTTCATCGAGATCAGCTGATCGGCCGCGGCGTCTATCACTGAATAGGCGCCAGTCACCATACCGGGGTCGCGCGCAAAGTGAGGCAGCACGGAACAAGAGCGCGGGTGACTGTTGAACCGTTCTGCCAGCGAACAGCACCAAGCCGCAGCCGCTGTCGCGTCACAGGGCAGCGCGGCTGAGCCGCCCCACCGGTCCGTAATGATGAGGACTGTACATGCATGTCTAATGCATTGCCATACGGATTAGAGAGTGCAGAGAAAAGCGGAAGATCAACGCATACCATGAACTTTGGGGCATGGTCCAGTTGCGAAATCACTAACGCAGGCAGGGCATCGAATGTGCAAGAAACATGTGACGAGCCAGGATATGGGCTTTTCAAGGGCAGGGACTGAAAGGTAGGTGAACAACTTATCATTCGTGATAAGATGGAATGTGTGAGGTCAGCATGACTATAGACTGCCATATGGATGAGATAGTGCAGAGAGAAACAGAAGATGGGCGCATTCCAAGAGATTATGTCAGGGCACATCGTTGTAGGGGATCCCAACAGGCGGATCGTATTTGGTCGCGGGGAGAGGCAGGGGTCGTACGGACTCGAGCAAAATCCCCAACCAATGATGTGCCCTGGATTATGTTCAAGCTGTCAGTAGACCATCGTCCGTGCGCTCAGCGTCTCTGTGTCTCCATATATTGCATGCGTGCCTAATGCTGTGAATCCCCCCCCCCTCCCCCCCTCCCATATGCTGCGTGTTCGACGGTTTCCTTTGCCTATTTCCTCTGATAAAATATTGCTGCTGGAAACCCATATTTGGCGTCTGCACTAACCACAAATTGCAATCGTGGATGTGCCTTCAGTACACACTATTCAAGGTGGGCTCAGTAAAAACACAAAAAGTAGCGCAAAAACACACTCCGCGTTCTGACGTGAAAATCCAGGCACAAAAATAGAACATAGACCTTCAGCAACAACGTAAGATATTCATAACGATCCTACCTGTTAGTCCTACAACCTCTCCAATCAGGAACGAAATGTATGATACAAGTACGAACAGACTGCTTTCAAGCAATGGATGTTCCGCAATTGCCGTCATTTTCGTAATAAGAGCATTGCCGCATCCAATCATTGAACCCAACAAAAGTGACCCTGCAATTCCGGTTAGTGGATCGATCTTAATGAATAGAAATAATATAGAGCTTGATCATTCAATAGATCACACCGTAGGCGATCGCAGCGACGATATTTAGCCCCAATTCTGAGGTCGTGCCCTTTTATGTGTAATGACGATCCCTGCCAATAATAGGGCAGGCGAGGGGGCGTGGCTTAGGTCGCAGCCGGGCCCGCTTTCACCAACAGTTGCGAACCAAGGACGACATCGTTGATGGAAAGGCCGCCTTGGGTTCGTTCCAAACCACGCCCTTCACATCCTCTATCGTTGGCATCACGTTGAGCTCCGCGTAGGTCACAACCATTACTCCATTACAAAACAGGCCAGTAAAAAAGAAAAGAAACAGCTTCAAACTCACCAAAGAAAATGTATGCAAATTTCCCAAGAGCGTAAACAATTTCGTTCATTCCAGCCACGTCACCTCCTGATGAGAAGTTATCGATCGTGCTAAAACGAAGCAGTTGAAGCTCAATGGGGCACATCGCGATGATAGGGAAAATGACCATGACGAAACATTTTTTTCCCAAATAGGCACTCAACACGATTTCTCCCCACGTTCAGCAAAAATGTAATACATTTCGTGCTATAGTACTACCATTGACACTGCCCAGGTTTCACTGTGTGCAACGCTTTATAGCAAAGTAACCTACTGAATCATTAATATATTGCAAAAGAACCTCTTCTACGTACAGTCACAATTTTCTCATGATCATACTTTCTGCTCGGGATCAGATGGTAGCGTCGCAATCAATCGGGGTGGTGTCAGGAGGGGCGGAATGAGCCCACTCCCGCACTCCTGCTCAACCAATGGTGATCGGTTAGCGATTGACTTATGAACAAAGCAACCAGTGAAGGATACGTCGCGGGTGGGCTCACTCCATCCCTCTTGATACCGCTCCGGCTGATTGCGATTATATCAACTGTCTGCTCTCTATAGAACGAGTTAGGCTGCCCACTCCATACCGATGAGAACGCTGTTGTGCTGTTCGATACCGCATGTTCCTGCACTTACGACATCCCTGCCCACACAGTGGTTGATAGGCACCCTCCTCAATGGGGATTCCCCACGCTGATGAGCCCCAAAGATAACAAATGCTGACTGCTGCGAAAAAACTTACAGGTGATTCAGCCTTTTGAGGAACCAAAGCAATCAAATAAGCAAAAAAAAAGCAAACGTGAACAAAAAGCAAGCTGAAAAAGGCAATAGAAGCAAAATCTTACCTTGATAATACCATGGCAACAGCATCGTTTAGAGCACTTTCACCAAAAACCAAGGCAAAGAGATCAGCTTCGACGTTCATCTCAGCGAACAGTGAGATAACGGTGACTGGAGAGGAAGTAAAATGTGTTCGAAAGGAAGAAAGCGAATTAGAGGTTATCGCATACCTGGATCAGTTGCAGAAATTAAAGCGCCGAAGAAGAGAAGCTCCTGATATGAAAATCCCATACCGAATATCTTCGTGAACACATATAGCAACGATCTAGAATTGCTAACAGTGACGCTAAGGGAATTTCTGCACAATCTTGTTCGCTGCGGATTCTGGGGCCGGTCAAGGGGCAAGGTTTGGAGTGACGCCAAACCATTCTCCACCCGTTGTGGTGACTGGCACGCGACCGCGTGTTGGAAAGCTGGCTAATGCCGCGCCAAATCCAGCCACCTGACACGTCTTAACGACTGCAGCCACTAAAGAATCCAAGAAACTGCTCAGTTAATAGTTGTGAACACGATCAATCCTACCCAGATATTGGCAGCTCTCCCAAAACGCACGGAGCGCGGGGCTGAGTAACCACTTTTTATCTATCGTTTCAGACGATTTTTCCAGATTAGTGGTTTCCTATCCTTCAAATCAGTGCACTTATATCCTACTTCCACAGATTCCTGGATTCCTCCGCGGGCTACGCGTGAACACAGCCTACAAGATGAACCAAACCTACCCGGTTGCAAAGCATGAGATTGTGGTGCCGATGAAGGCGAAAACCAGTATACTGCCAATGTTTCGGAAGAAGTGACGTTTTTTAAGACTATAACCAGCGTTGAAGATGATTGGTGGGAGCATGATATTGAAGAAAATCTCAGGAGAGAATGCACTCTGGAATGTATGAAACTCATCACCAACAACACACAACCGTCTCCCTCACGATTTCTGCAAATGAGAGGGCGTGCAGCAGAACATACATATACGCAGGCAGAACACTTCCGCAAATCGCTGCGGACGACATTATCATTACTGGTGGAAAAGGCCGCCTTGGGCAGCGTTCCAAACTACGTCTCGTCACACGCCCTACCGTTAGCAGTTATCATGGCTGTAGCAGTAATTAATCACTGGGGCAAGAGAAATGGTATTTCGCCTTCACTGATGCACCAAATGTCCAGCTATGTTTGTGGATAATAAAATCATAAAAGGCACTGATGCAATTGAGGAGGGTTCAATGATCTCAGTTACTGTCATGAAAGTCTAACAGTTCCATTGCCAACCAAGTTTTTGTATAAAATGGATTACGGATCACAGTTCTCCTTTCCCTAGGCTTAGGCGGAACCATTCCCTGGATCACACCAGCTGCGTAACTTTCTGCACTAAACGCCGTCAATATAAGAAACAATGGATAAATGACGTGAACGACAAGCGTGTACTACTCCGGCTAGCTTTACGAGAGTCCATAGGTACCACTGAAATGGCCCGGCACGTTAACAAGAATCAACATAACGCCCTCCTCCCTCACGAATCAAACATCGTCCCGGAATCTAATGAAGAACTATTTTACATAGCTACATTTCCACTTGAACTAAGCGCTATCAGCCTGACATACCCTCTCCCAACATAAGTTTGAGCCTGTGAACGAATTTGGCTTGAAATCCGATACGACACTGTCTATGCAGTGAAAAGGAAACGGCGTCTTTCCCGGAAGAGAAATAAGACCACCAACCTTTTGTTCAATTTTTTGCTCATTATGCTTCTTCTTGTCAGCGTAAAAGCCTTCCATCAACTCGTAATGGAATGAGACATGTGGGGCATCTTCCGGTTTCACCTCTAGCCTTAAAAATTGTCTATTGGAAAGGAGCACTTTAACTGCTTCCATAAATAAAGTGACTGAAGTCACATCTGAATCAGAAGATAGAATAACATGCATGTTCTCTGGAATTGAGCCTAAAGGTCGCGCTCATACCCTGCGACAATGGAGAGTGGGAGATTCGGACCGTTAAGTATAAGTATTAGTCTGGAAAACCAAGAAATAGGAATATCGGAGACAGGGAACATCATCAGGACGGATGTAACGTCAATACGATAACCTCCAGAGAGTGTCTCGGTCGGTTATACACCCTCCCACAGGGTATCTACCCTCATACCAAATTTTCAGAAGATTTTGTCATTGAGCAGATGTGGAGATGAACATCGCTGATCAACTGGCAGAAATTGTAGTTTTTACGTGTCACTAGGGAGACCCCGGTCAGGGGTTGCACGCTAAATGAATGGAAATCGGTCATCGGTCGCTCCACCCATTGGCAAATTGGGAGAATAGGAGGACCGAAAAATGAGCGAATCAGAATTTAACGATTCTCATCCAAACCTCTGGGAGACATTCCGCGTTCCCTTTCATGTCTGCTTTTCCAAATCGATATAGATTTTTTTTCTTGTGCACAATCTCCCCGTTCGCTCATTCTCGATTCTCCGACTCTCCAATGACGCAAAGTTTAAACGCGGTCCAGCTTCATCTTCACATTCTTTGGAAATTGAAAGAAAAAAAACATCATTCAAAAGAATTCTGCCACGAGTGAATACCTCACAAGTACAACAAAATACTAAATACTAAACAAAATTGCCAACCTCAAGTAATCTGGAGGTTCGTCGATAACCTTATGATCTTTTAAAATTACATCGTATGTTTGAGACTCTAGCAATCCAATGTCAAAATATCGAATAACAAAGCCAATTAATAACCCTAAAATTTCAGTAGATAATATTCAGCAAGAAAGATGAAACCAGTCGCTCACCGTAAAGCAATGTAAGCCCGGTTTCATGCACACACATAAATCGATAATGCTTGAAAAGCCATGATGTAAGCACAATTACCACAAGTACAGAGATGTAGGTAAGAAGGATGATGGAGTCCAGTCGATGGATATTTTCGGCCCTCTAAAATGAGTGACTAGAAAAAAGGAAATTTCGAAAATTTCGAGTTTTTTTTATAAAAACAAGCAATATCTTAAATTGAAACGCTTCAATGGTCATGGCAGACGGAACACTCCTTCTCAGTTTCCTTCCGTTCTGAATTAGGTGGGGGAGGGGGGGGGGTAAAGCCAGAGTTATGGGAAAACCTGAATAGGCGGATGTATATTGTTGGTCACGAGCCGCGGAGTCACGCTAAAATTTGTATTTTTCCTAGCTAGCTGACCTTGCAAAGACAGCCTTGCCATGTTCAGTCGACTGAGTCCTGCAGCGAATGCTGCGCATGTCAACTCGCTTGTCACACCTGGTACCGTGCCGGTCGCGGATTGGGACTATCTGTGTGCACCTTAGACAGGCAATTATATAACCCTAACCATCGCTAACCTTGTCGAGTTAGCTCCATAAACGTGCTAAACTAAACTTACTGAGAAACCAGTCCTGCACCCAGGAAATTGTAAAGCTTGACAAGGAGTAGGTTCGGACCGGGCGAGTTGAAATTTGGGGCTCTCTATGAAATTCCCCTTCGTGCGACGACCGTAAAAGAAGGTTAGTGGTCTGAACTGTAAAGTGAGCCTGTAAGCAGTGCAAAGGTTCCAAAAGAGGACAAATTTTCTACCGATACACACCCGAAATCCCTGAGGCTGTAAGCGTGACCGCGCACTTCAAACAAACGTTGCGATGTGTGCTTTTGGTTAGAAATTTTCATTTTGAGACAGTTGTGGTCATGTCTTTGTCCAACACAGAACAAGAGACAGTTGTCTCAAGTGAAATATCCCACTAGTGCCGCATCGCTGACCCTACGAAATGTCCAAATGCCACGCCCACTCTGTCTCAAGGATAAAGAGCATAAAATACTTTAATTATGCGAACATTACCTAGAAACGCTCCTGGATTTCGCAGCCTCATAGGAAATTGTCATTTGTACGAGAAAGTGGCGTTTTAAAAGCTTTACCAGGCTATCAGGTTTTTCAAAGATTCAGAGCAAAATGCCGCTGACGTGTTTCTCGGACATACAGCTCGTTTTTAACCAGATAACTCATCCGAATCAATATACCACTGAATTTTACAAAGTCAACGGCCCATGTTAGGTCGATAATATTGGCGTTGGTGCCCCCGTTCCTTTCACAGAGCGTCTTCTAATCATCAATCATGAAAATCTAGCAACCTTGTGATCCGGACGAGTTAACTCACCTGCAAAACGCGCCGCATGACGTTTACGACACAGTAGCAATATGGTCTCGCACATTAGATGAAAGAATACAGTAGGAACAAACTCACCCGCTGAGCTGCCTTTTCCAGCTGGGAGGCATCCTTGCTATTTGCAGCAATCGTGCCCGTGTAAAGCATTGTTACAAGTAAGAATATAACAGTGAATTTCTTCATTCTTCTTGAGTATAATAAAGATGTACAGTAAATAAAACCTGAAAACAGCTGGAAAGTTTAGGTTCTGTCGCTGAACACATCGAAAAGTTACGGACGAGTTAAAAAGAGTTGACGCTAATAAGCTTGAGGGTGGGGTGGGCAGGGGGCGTTTCAAGGACTCGTTGTGCAAAACCAGAATAAGGTATTCGAACACCGCTGCCGTACTTTAAATTGGTCTACCACCCCAAACTTTCTGCCTTCCTTAAACCTGGACAAATTCCTTACCGTCAATATAGTTTTGCGCAAGGGGTGCCTCGAACGCTCCCCCTCCCCCCCCCCTCCAAGATTACTGGCGGTGAATACCAACCCAAAGAAAATGAACGATTATAACGATTATTATAGAAGAACTGAAAACAGCTATTACTGGCAACCTTGAAGAAAACAGTGCAATCGCCATCATGAAAAGTGAATCTCTCTTAAAATGAACTACAATACGCGGAAATCCAAAGTTCAACTTTCACGCGATAAGTTCAAAATCAGTCATTTTAAGACAATACAGCAGTTTACAAGAAGAAAAAACTGAACGTTCGAGAATTCAATTCCAATCGATGAACTCTACCGAACCACACGCATACTAATAACGGATTTACATAGCAGTTCGAAATTTCGACGGATGCCCCGATGCCTGAACAAACAGACACATTCATATTTGTGGACTTGCTTCAAAACAAAATGAGGGTCTGCGGTTTAGCACGTGGACTCACTCCCTTCAATCGCGTCGATTCTGCTTTTGTCTGGCTTTCTATATCGCTTACAAAGTTCCAACCTTTACCTTATGATAGTGGTTACCCACCCCACAGTCAGCTACTGCAACTTCACTTAGGATACGTGGCTTACCCACCCCAGAGCCAGCTCTTCTTGGAGAAGCCTAACCCCTGACTCGCCACGAGCTCTTTCGCTCGCTTCAATGCTTTAGCGCCGCTGTCCTCGGGATGTGACGATAGGACCACGCGGCGTCGCCGCGCGACAATCATTGAATACCATTGCTTTCAATGGAGCGCGAGCTCGCAGATGGCCCAGCATGTCAGCATAACAGTGGCATATCGCTACAGTTTTTTTGACAGGACGTTCTTTCACGCTTCAACCATACCATTGTAGGTATGGCCCTAACACAAGGCTACCTAAAAAGTTGCACGACTGGAATTAATCCAGTGTTGTCAAATGATTAGCGACTGGCTGATAAGCTCACCACCAGTGAGCTTGTTGGCAAAACTCAGCTGGTTTAGTACAATTACAGAACGGGACTCTCTATTGCGCAAACGGAACTACGGCAGTTCAGGACCGACTATCGTGAAAGAGCATGACTGAAAACTGAAGCAGTAGCTGTTTAATTCAATGAAGCAATTACATGGAGGCTGATCGCGCGCATGCGCTCCATCGCTAGCAAATAGTATTCAAACTTTACCGCGCGCGACGCCGCGTGATCCTAAAGCCCTTCTCCCGCTGTCCTCTATCTGTCTGCGTTACAGGGTTTCGCGATAGAACCACAGAAAAAGTTCAGACTCCGCATAAGAGATGAGCTTGGAAAAAACAACAGAAGTACAAAACTTGAAGCGCTTTTCTATTCATCCAAGGTTACGCAGAAAACGATGAATGAAGTTTGCCACGAAACGATCGAATTCCACAATTCAACGCTTCTCTCATTCGAAAGGAATATCGACGAACCACTCAAAGCAAAAAAAAGGAAAATCACCACATTGAAATTTTCTGAAGCGTAAAACGACATACTGGCGAGTAAATTGAATAAACGCTAAGCAGTGTTACAGTGACTTTTATGGCGAAATGGAAATAAAACTAAACAGTGAGGCTATGCGTATCTACGTCCGAACATTACGTTTGTGTGACACCCACAAACTGCCATTACCACTAAAACAGACTGGTCCATTCCGATAAGCTTGAAAAGCAGCCAGCTGTCTTAACAGAAACAATAGAAAAAAAAAGAATCACGTGAAAGACTCGATCATCACATAACAAAAGATTAAAGACTAAGTTAACAAACGGCAGTTTTGAAGGCAATCGACCAACTATTGGATGAACACATAAAATGTGCGAAAAACGATTTCGGAAACAATAGCCAAGTATTGATTAACCAAGGACACAGGAAAATAAAGGATTAGCATGAGGACAACATGGTGTTCCACAAAGGCGCTATAACGAATAGTCTAAATCAAAAAACGCAGCGCTTCCTTGAATAGCCCAAGTGCAAGTCAAACAGGGCTTTATTATTACAGGATTGGCTATTTGGTGCTGTTGAAATAGAAAATTTTCAGTGTACAGAGATGTAACCGAGATAGCGGCATCTAGTTGGAAGGACCCTCGAATTTTATGCCACATACAAACCCGTAACTTACAATCCAAAAAACCATACGATTTAGAAGAAATATTGCGACCTGTCCAGATGGAGTTATGCAAGCCTTAGTGGGGTGCGTATGTAAAAAATGGTCATCATGGAACTTGAAGGATTGATACGCTTTAGATAAATTAAAACCAGTAAACCTAGAAGCCATGGAGCATTGTGGACCGATACAAGGAGGAAGTCTAGTGCATCTAACAAGCTGGAGGTTTTTCTGTCAGCAATGACTTAGTCATTTAATACAAAAATGTTGCGGTCCCTCTTAGCCTGATGCTTATTACATTCTCGTCCCATGACTCACTCCAGGGCTATCGTTTCAGAATCGGTCCATCATGGAGTGACATGTGAAGGAAAGTGGCATTTTTGCTACCGCCGGTCCTTCTGCCACGACGCGTCGCGGTTTCAAAGTGGAGCGCGCTACCATGCGCCGTTCGCCTTCTTCTAGCATCTACACTCATCATTAGTATTTCACTTAGGAATATTAAGGTGAATTCAACTATAATAACTGAGTGAGGATCCGTTTCCAGGTGTTCTCGGGAACAATAATTCCTCTGATATCGTGGTACTCTATCCTCTGAAATATCAGCGGCAGTACTCTCTTTCCCGCTGCACTGGGTGAAAACTAAAGATTTCAGTCGATATCGATCGATGAAACATGAGCCTCACTTTGTGAAAGTGCCTGCAGTCTTTTCTAAAGTCACAATATGAGACGAGATCAATCCCTTAGACACTCTGTTCTGTTTCTTGTTAGACAGCATTTAGTGGAGTAGCGGATGGGGAAACGCCTGTGACCCAGCTAATGAGGATTTCCTACCTGAGCCTGAGAGCAACAGCGTCCGAACTCAAAGTTTTGTTCTTCCGGGCCGTAAGGTTAGGCTGCGTTTATACTTTGCGGCAGCGTAGCGTAGCGCTTCCAGCGTACGCCAGCGGCAGTGTCGGGGAAAGGATAGATATCGATCTAGCGTTCCCAGCGTCACCAGCGTACGCCAGCGTATTTTAGCGTTACGCCAGCGCACGCTAGCATAACGCTGGAGTATTCTAGCGCTACGCCAGCGCACGCTAGCGTAGCGAGGGCACGGGAAGCATAGCTATCGATCTAGCGCTCCCAGCGTTTCACTAGCGTTTCGAGCGTTTCGCTAGCGTTTGCAGCGGCGGGGCTAGAGAGTATAGAAGAGTAGGAGAGTATTTTGTACTCTTCTATACTCTCTAGCCCGCTAGCGTTTGCCAGCGGCGGGGCTAGAGAGTATAGAAGAGTAGGAGAGTATTTTGTACTCTCCTACTCTTCTATACTCTCTAGCCCCGCCGCTGCAAACGCTAGCGAAACGCTAGCGTACGCTGGTGACGCTGGGAACGCTAGATCGATATCTATCCTTTCCCCGACACTGCCGCTGGCGTACGCTGGAAGCGCTACGCTACGCTGCCGCAAAGTATAAACGCAGCCTTAGGTGAACCCTTCATTGAGGTTGGCCCGCCTGACGTTTCCACAAGATCGTCGCCCTTGGTGGTTAATAAAGGCCTGAAGTTCAGTTCTACTATTCTAACACATGGTGCTTGCCCGACGCTCCTTTTCTCCAGCAGATGAACCGCGTGCAAAAAATCTCCATATTCTATTACTGCTCAACTCTACTTGACCCTAATTTTCGTCTCCTCTTAATGCATATGCTTATCTCTTGAACGATCTCCCTTTAGCGACTGGTCCTAGTTGATATCTTGGCGGCTCTTTTATTTTTCTCTTTAGTTATGTTCCCTTTTTCTACCATTTTCACGAATTTGAACTGCTTGTTCGCTGGGGATGATGCGCCTATCAAGGCGAAACGGTTCGGCGCAGTGCTAGCCCTTTCTTTCCCCCCGGCAAGCGACAAAAGTATACAATATGCTCCGTACCAGTCGTCTTCAACCATTTGCCCTCGCATACTCGCGTCAACAAGTGATGGTGAACGTACCGGCGGCGCGCCAACCGTAGCGCCCTTTTTGACACGCCCCATCACCCGCAGCGAACAAGCGTGTACTGCAGTTCACACAGGGTTGCAGATTAGGACACATTATCTTTGCTCTTTGTTCTTATTCTCTCCACCGTCATGCACTGAGTTTCTTTTTTTAAAGACAGCGCCCGCGATGGACTTTGGCAGGTCTCAGGGGTCAAATTTGTTAGAACAGGTGGCCAATGAAGCACTAATCAAAAAAAGTAGGAAAAAGGTGTGGAAGAGCGTGAAATAAGACCCTACGAAATTTAAGGCATGTGGACGAGTTTCGCAGACCTTTGGTGAGTTCTCCAATACACGTCGCCGCCTCGGAACTCCAGAAACTTAGCGTTTATCAATGCCAGCAAGCACTGATAACTGTTAACCAGTCGGGGCGGGATTAACAGGGAAGGAGGCGTCAGCTCAGCCTTGTTGACTCCGCCCTCGTCAACCAATCGATTTCGAGCCGCAAGAGTGGGATTTCCGCTGTGGTTGCGTACTCCGCGTTCGTTTTCATTGGAGGGTTTTTTCACTTTGGTTGATCGCGGACGCTGCCTTTAAGATGCTAGCATGGCACGTTATAAAACGCATGAATTAATGAAAACCAGTAAGCGCCTTTGTTTGCATGTGAGCGCGACATGTACGAAGAAAAATTTATTATAAAATAACAAATTAGCAATCGAAAAACACTTCAGCGAATATGTACGGAACAAAGATTAACAATAACAGACAACTGAGATTTGAACAAAAATTAACGAGTAGAGAAACAAAAAACAAGTTACCAAGAATACTAATTGTATGCTCAATTGCTGCTTAGCCAACATAAGAATTTTGCGCAACAGTAACGACAATAAAGTAAAGTATAGCACATGATAAGATTGGGGGATTATGTCGGGACCAGCGAACTATTCTCCGTCCTCATCTCGCAACCGCAAAAGGGATCAGTTCTCAGCACTCGAGGAACTTTCTGATAATGACAATGACTCATGACTGTCACGAGATGATGGAGACGATGAGCGGGATTTAGAGACCATAGTATTTTTTGAATCAGAACCTGTAAAAATAGTTTTCATCTCGCGATTAGCTGAAATACTGTCACATTCTCAGAACACTTAAGCAGCTTCAGCCCCCGAGATAGTCAGCGGGCGGATACACCATCAGGGTACAGCATCGTGATGTGTGAAATGGTGGTGTCAGTACGACCTCCCCCACCTAAATGAGGGTCTCGGTACGACACCCCCCCCCTTCCCCAACATCTACCTACCAATGTTCCAGATTTTCCAGTTCTTCACCCAAAAATTTTCCTGACGAGCAGGGGAGGAGGGAGGGAGGGAGCGAGGAAGGGGGGGGGGGGTATATAGTACACATGAAACAGGAAAAATCACGCGAAAAGTCAACAACCAGGAAAATTTTTCCCAACACAGCAATTTCTCTTGAAGGCACATACGACCCCCCCCTCTCCCAACGACCAGATACGACCCCCCTCCCCCACCCTAGAGGAATAGTACGACCCCCCCCCCTATGTGTTTCGACAACGATGCTGTACCCTGTACACTACGTCTATGCTGCCATGCTAATTCCCTAGCCTGTCTCAAAAAAAACGGACCACCCACACCTAGTTCTTACTTGCCTTTTTTACTGTTTTACTTTCTCTCTTTCCTTCACCGCTTCCATTTAACTCTTTATATAATACCAGTCGACTCGCCGGCTAACGCCGGCGCGCCTCCTTCTGATACGGCCCGGCTGCGCCGGGCGGGCGCGGCTTCGCCGCGCGTATTTTCTTTCACATATTTCTAGACTCAACTGATATCCGCCTTTTGTTCTGTACTCCACTTTTTTCCGGTGTCTGAAGTACTCTTGAGCTATTTTACAGATTCTTCGTCTGACTCCGCCCACCTCGGAGCAGGCCCCGCCCACAATGTTTGTGCCCCACAATCCTCACCGGCGACCCTCTGCTGACCTTAATCCACTTTTTTCCGGTCTTCGGAGTGCTCTGGAACCGTTTTACAGACCTTTTGTCTGGCTCCGCCCACCTCGGAGCAGGCTCCGCCCACAATGTTTTTGCCCCACAATCCTCACCGGCGACCCTCTGCTGACCTTAGTCCACTTTTTTCCGGTGTCTGGAGTGTTCTGGAACCGAGCTACAAACTTTTAAAATGAATACCCTGCGATTTAGGGCAAGCTCCGCCCACTGTGGGCGGGTCTCAACACACTTTGAGCGTGCCCTATATTCGCCAGATATTTACATTCTACACTGAGTTTTTTGCGACTTCCAAACTCGCGAACCGGGTTACTGAATTTTGCGAGAAGCACCGCCCACCTTGAGTACGCCCCGCCCATTTTGGATGTGTCTGCCACAGTTAGTCTGGCGACTCCTTACTAACCTTATTCCCTTTTTTCCCCATCTTTAAGCTGCTCCGGAAGCGAATTATGAACATTTTTCTGCGGAACCCCAAACTTTCGGCGAGTGCCCCGCCCACTGTGGGCGGGGCTTCCCATAGGTCAAGTGTGCTTTTTATTTCTTGTCCCATGCCCTACCCATCCCCACCTTGACCGACCTCTCCAAGTCGTTCTTCAGGTCGAACCGAATTTCCGGACAGACAAACTTACAAACTTACAAACTTACAAACAAACAAACAAACAGACAAAGCGAATTATATATATGGGGTGACTATTAACAGTATGTCCCCTTTTACTGTGAAGACAGATTTAAAGAAATAGGATGGAGGCCCAATGCGTATTTTGACCTACTATTCCAAGAGCTGAAGCTGCTCAAATGTTCTGACTCACTTAAAAACGACTACCTCACCTCAGGGCAAATGTCGTTTGGGGAAATTCCGCAAAATACGACCTCTTTCTTGAAATGTCCTCCCTTTTCATTCTTCTACCCATCATTTTGCCAGATGTTTCGATATTTCCAGCATCTTTCAACTTTCCCGCCGCTTTCTCAAAAAACCTTCCACTTTTGTTGACGAGCGGTTATTACGCATGTTGGGCTGGGAAGGGGAAATTGCTCAGGAGCCCTTCGCCCCGTAACTCACAGGCAAGCCCACAATCATGCTTTTTCGTCCGACAGTTTCGTTTTTCACTGAAGGCGGGCCTTGAGGGCGGAGTCTGGAGGCGGAGTCACTGGAAAAAGGAGGCGTCACTGAACCTATATTGCGCTATAGCGCCCCTCCCTTACAACTTTTTACCGCAAAACCGGTACAAGGTCGCCAACAACACTCCTCTCGACGCTGAATTTTTAGGCGCTACTGCACCTGATCGCGAAGCGTTTCTTTAAGTAGGAAACGATAGCCCATACACAGCCCATGCACTCCACGCCTTACCTGATTCTGAATCGCTAGAGTCGCTAGAGTCACTGCTTGACGATGAGGATGATCCACTGCTAGTAGATGAGGATCCAGATGATGAGCGGGCACGACCAGCTACATGTGGGGGAGCTTCAGCGCCTCCCTTTTTACGATCAGCTGAATGAAACTTCGTAGCGGTCGAAATTAACTGACATCAACTTCATCATAACTAGCAAATACACAACACACCCTGTTGGGATGCAGTGGGCGTGGCTGGGTACTTCGTTTTAGCATGGTTTATGATGGGTTACTCGTGAGATAGCTAATTTTGACACAGCAGTTACCTTGTCTTGCGTTGAACAAGGACATAATTACTGTGATCAATATCACACCAAAGTGGAGCCGCCACCTTCAAAAGCAGTATGCAGCCACGCCTATCGCATCTCCTGGATATGTATGCCATAATCGCAAAGAAATGAAACGCACCGCTCTTGTTCGAGTGCTGAGCCGACACCACATTGAAGTTCTTATCCAGAACCTTAGGTTTTTTTTCGCGCATCTCGTAAATACGACAGCTGTCTCGCAATGATCCTAATGGGCGAGGTGGATTAAAGACTTCCACTATTACGTCATAATCATCTGAATGAAAACTTGCAACGATCATAAAGGGGTGTCATTAACCTTCACCAAAACTAACAAATACACTCCACATCCCCGTGGGATGCAGTGGGCGTGGCTGCGTACCTCGTTTTAGCATGGCGTACGATGGGTTACTCGTGGGATATTTCATTTTGACACAGCTGTTACCGTTTCTTGCGTTGAACAAGAATATGCTCATGGCTGTCACCAAAATAAAGTATCCCACCAAAGTGCAGCTACCGCCACTTCAAATGGCGCAGCAACGCCTACCGCTTTTCCGGGATATGGAGCATACCATAAGTTGCAAAGAAATGAAACGCACCGCTCTCGTCCGATTGCTCAGACGAAAGAAGCTTCATTGGACTTCTCATCCGTAGCCTCAATTTTTGGTTTGCCCAGCTCATTACCATTCGCTGCAATGCTGCAGTCAGACAACGATTAGCAAACGTGAGCAGGTGAGGCCCCTCTTGATGTGAAATGCTCACTCTTTTGCGGTTCCTGTTCCTGAGCGGCAGCTACAACAGCCTCGAGGTCACGAATTGTAGAAGCACTGACATCAGTGAGTTCTATTTCATACCACCCTTGAGTGTAACCCTGAAAGGTTGCCCCAATCGATAAGGGGGAAACGTAGAGTTCAATAGATCACGAAGTCAATTGTTGATCTCACAATCTCACGATCTACCGAAAGCTCCTTTCTGCTCTCAGCAATACTGACGATTTTGTGGAGTGAGTGGGGTTGCTCCTTAAGTTTGCTGATCTTCGCGGCAAGTTGGAGCAATTCATCATAAGACTTAACAGGCTCGCGTAGTTTTTTAGCTGACCTCTTGACTCCCGAACTGTTTTTGAAACCACGTTGTGCAGCCAACTGAAACGAGCAAGCTTATAACTGAAAAAAAAAACTCGTACGCACAGATGATGACAACAAGACTGGCTGCGCCTGCGTATACATACGCGCCGTAGCATGGCTGCTGGAAAAGTTGGCCCCTACAATAATTCCGATAGGAGTCACTAGTGAGATACACATCACGACTTCCGACCCCCCCCCCTTTCTTCAATAACAATACTTCAAATCGAGCTTGAATCCTTCGTATTCAGTGAGAGCATACTCACTCGAAGATGTAGCCTAATACCTTTCCAAACTTGACCGTGAGAATCCCACGGTATAGGGGGAGACTTGCTGGACCATGGGGAGATGCACTTACCAATCATGTGAAGCAGCTGGGATGTCCCGGATCGTCATCGCCGCAGACTCTTGAGTCATTCATGGATGATGAGCGCGAAAAACCGAAACGAATGCTGGTGCTCGCACGCAGGTGAAGAAGAGCTGTAGAAGTACACTCCTTATCCCTGAGCCAGAGTAGGCGTGGCATTTGAACATGGCACGGAACTGGTTACTCGTGGAATATTCCAGTCTGGGACAACTGTCATCTTGTTCTGTGTTGGACAGAGACACGACAACAATTGTGTCAAGATGAAAATATCTCACCAGAAGCATAGACACCTTCAGGTTAAAGGCAGTTGGCACGATAAATCCCCAAGACGACTAGGATCAATACTCCTGGCAGGATAGAATTCCGCGACCCTGGGCAGGCGCTGCATAGCGGTTCCCCGAGGAAGGTGCCCTTATAAGGGCCCTATCAAGCCACAACTTTACGTCCCAAACGCCCGCCACGCCCGCCCGCCCACAAATGGACGACCGTTCCTGACGCTCGTATTCATTCATTTGCTATATATGGGTACACATATGCAGCCGTATCTTCGGTAGCGGTGATTGGCAAGATGCCTACGGGAAACTCGTCCGAAATCGATTTACAAGTCACTGAGAACGGAGGCTTTTTCTTCGCAGGATTTTGACCGTTTCACTCCGTTCTTTCGCCATTTCCCCACTATACAGCGCCCTACTAGCATTTTAGGCTAAGTAGGAAACCATCGTGCCAACTGCCTTTAAGTTGAAACATGAGGTCATACCTACCCGATCTCAGGGATTTCAAGTATAAGTATTTGATCTCTGCACACCTCCAACGCGAGAATCTTACGAGCAGCAAGCTGAATGGGGTTTTTGGTAAGAAGCCAGCAGTAGGCGGTATAAGAGAGGGCCATTTTTTGAACCGTACCTAGCCACGATAAGACACGTCGGAGCCAAGTCATGCCATCTAGGGGAAGAGGCGCAGTGAGAGTGGTATGTTCCAACCTTGACTGAGCCCTGTTGAACTATGTCAATCTATGGGATGATGCAGACAAGTAAACTTGGCTCGGAAGAGACTTACAACCAGTCCCTCTAAAAAAGGGTCAATCCCGCTGCACAGAGCGCGCAATCACTACCAACCAAAAAACAAGAATAACTCCCTCACCTGTTTACCAGGACCCTGCGTAGCTTGGCGACCACGGTCTTCCATGCTTTGTCTCCTGTTGACTGCAACAAATGATTAAAACAACCTTAACCACTCATGTGCTATACGCATTTGCGCGCCAACGCAGTTCACGGTGAGGAGGGAGAGCACGTGATGGGGCGGCCCTTCTGTAGTATCTTCCTCTGACCGAGACTTAAAGGCAGTTGGCACGATGGTTTCCTACTTAGCCTAAAATGCTAGTAGGGCGCTGTATAGTGGGGAAATGGCGAAAGAACGGAGTGTCAAAATCCTGCGAAGAAAAAGCCTCCGTTCTCAGTGACTTGTAAATCGATTTCGGACGAGTTTCCCGTAGGCATCTTGCCAATCACCGCTACCGAAGATACGGCTGCATATGTGTACCCATGTATGCATGCAGCATCACGGCCGCTTCATACCAATCCCTTCGCTTCATAATTTGCTTAGCAAATGAATGAATACGAGCGTCAGGAACGGTCGTCCATTTGTGGGCGGGCGGGCGTGGCGGGCGTTTGGGACGTAAAGTTGTGGCTTGATAGGGCCCTTATAAGGGCACCTTCCTCGGGGAAACCGCTATGCAGCGCCTGCCCAGGGTCGCGGAATTCTATCCTGCCAGGAGTATTGATCCTAGTCGTCTTTGGGGATTTATCGTGCCAACTGCCTTTAAGCATGGAACGCAAACATCTGAGTAGCCGTGGGCGACTATCGCACAGCAGTCAGTATTAACGCGACTTTTGTCACCTGCGCTGTAAACCTAGGCCTTGCCTAGGGACGCGAAGGCGCTTCTGAAATGGGACTAGCCGCGGGCGATTTCCCATAGCAGTTGGACGTCACGGTACTTTTGTTCGGCGCTCTAACCCTGCGCCTTGCTTAAGCAGCGTCCAGACTTCGCTACGTCTCGCGTCACAGCACGTAGCGCTTTACAGTGTTGTACAGCGCGGTTGCCACGCGTCGTCGCGCTGCAAGGCGCTGCTGCGCTACAATTACAAGCGCGCTCCAATTTCTTTCAAAATTTCTCTCTTTTTTTCTTTATTTTCCATTTCCACTTTCTCTTCAGCTTCCCTTTTGACTTTGACATTCAATATCGATGTATCAGAGGAAGCGACGCAAAGCGCTGACGAGTGTCTCCTTCCACCACCCTGAACCACATCAATGCCTTAATTTCCAGTTGTTAAGTTCTATGACCGCTAGTGAGTTCTAATAAATATGTGAAACCCGTTAGATCGTTCGAGTCACCGCTTGACGGTGACGATCCAAAGTTACAAGATGAGGACGCAGTTGATGAGCGGGCACGACCAGCTACATATGGGGAAGTCAACGAGTTCCATGTTACGATCAGCTGAATGAAACTTCGCAGCGGTCGAAAATAGCTGACATCAACTTCATCACACTAACGAGTACACTCCACATCCCCGTGGGATGTAGTGGGCGTGGGTGCGTACTTAGTTTTAGCACGGAGTAGTGTTACTCGTGGGATATTTCATTTTGACACAGCAGTTACCTTGTCTTGCGTTGAACAAGGACATAAGTTACTGTGTATCAATATCGCACCAAAGTGCAGCCACCACCTTCAAATGTAGTATGCAGCCACGCCCACCGCATTTCCGTCGACATGGAGCATACCATAATCGCAAAGAAATGAAACGCACCGCTCTTGTTCGAGTGCTGAGTCGACACCACTTCATTGAAGTTCTCATCCACCACCTTAGGTTTTGGTTCACGAAGCTCGCGACGAGAGCTACTACGACCTAATGGGCGAGCAGCATCAGTGACTTCCGTGTTACAATCATCTGAATGAAAACTTGAAACGATCATAAAGGGGTTGTCATTAACCTCACCAAAACTAACAAATACACTCCACATCCCCGTGGGATGCAGTGGGCGTGGCTGCGTACCTTCGTTTTAGCATGGTGCACGATGAGTTACTCGTGGGATATTTCATTTTGACACGGCTGTTACCGTTTCTTGTGTTGAACAAGAATATGCTCATGGCTGTCACCAAAATAAAGTATCCCACCAAAGTGCAGCTACCGCCACCTTCAAAGCGCAGCAATGCCTACCGCTTTTCCGGGATATGGAGCATACCATAATTGCGAAGAAATGAAACGCACCGCTCTCGTCCGATTGCTCAGACGAAAGAACTTCATTGGACTTCTCATCCGTAGCCTCAACTTTCTGGTTTCGCTCAGCTCATTATCATTCGCTGAAATGTTGCAGTTAGACAACGATGAGTGAACGTGAGCAGGTAGAGGATCCCAGGTAGAGGTTAATCTTAATGTGAAATGCTCACTCTGTTGCGGTTCCTGCTCCTGAACGGCAGCTAAGAAGAGCCTTGAGTTCTCGAACTGTATCAGCACTGATACATCCAAAATCTATTTCCACCTCCTCTGGAGCGCTACGCTGTAATGTTGGGCCCGATCGATAACAGGCAAATGTCGAAATCAATAGATCACGAGATCAAGCGTTTGATCTCACGCATACCGAAAACTCTCCTCTGCCTCTTACAACTTCGACGACTTTGCTGAGTGAATCACTCGTGAGTTTGCTGATCTCTGTGCGGAGTTGAAGCATTTCATCATAAGACATAGCAGGCTCAGGTTTTCCATCAGCGACCTTCCTTGTTCCCCGCTTGTTTCTCAAACGACGTTGTGTAGCCACCTAAAATGTGCAAGCTTGTAATTGAAAAAAAACTGATAAATGACAAACCAGACGGCTGCGCCTGCTTAGACACTCGAAATCCCTGAGATGAGGTAGGCGTGGCTGCGTACATCAACTAAACGCCGTGCGTGGTGGCTGCGCTCTAGGAAATACACAAGACAGATTAGAGCGGCCGGTGAATCCGTGTTACAGTAACCCGCTGTCATTGGGCGCGCTGTTG